GGGGCAAGAGCAGTACTTTTCCGACAAACCGAAAAATTTTTCCGACAAACCAAAAAGTTTTCCGGACGACAACATTTTAAATCTTCACCCCCCGTCGACAACTTTGACAATTTCCGACAGCCTTGACAATTTTCCGACAATTTCCGGCAGCATTGGCAATTTTACGACGGGTGTCAACAATAGGGGAGGGCCATTCCCCCCCCCCCTGCCCCCCCGGCCACGGCGCCACTGATGACAATCACTAGACGTATGACGTCATTGACGTACGTCGACGAATGTTTTCACGATTTCATGTTTGTCAACAGAGCCCCCCCCCGGTAAATTTAGTTCTATAGCACTGCTGCAAAGCCTTGCAAAGTCTCTATTGCACTATTCGTACTATTCGTCGCCTATTCGTGGACTATTCGTACTATTCGTCGCCTATTCGTGGACTATTCGTACTATTCGTCGACTATTCGCGGACTATTCGCACTATTCGTCGACTATTCGCGGACTATTCGCACTATTCGTCGACTATTCGCGGACTATTCGCACTATTCGTCGACTATTCGCACTATTCGTCGACTATTCGCGGACTATTCGTACTATTCGTCGACTATTCGCACTATTCGCACTATTCGCTTCACTATTCTAGTTTTATCAATTGCCGCTTGAGAAGAACATTCTCTACAAGTACAAAATGTCGGTCCGGTTATTTACGCACGCTAATTATTGAAAACGTCAAGAATTGTAAGATTGATTAAAATGTTGTAAATTTGTTTATAATATAGCATTTGTAAATTCTGAACGCTGATTGGCTAAGAGCCGTGTTGATATAACTCAATGTCAACACGGGAAATTTTCCGCCGCTTGTAAACACGGAATGGATATATAATGCTATATTATAAAAAAATATAAAACATTTTTTCCGTATTGATATATAGTTATATCAACACTCGTGGAAGTTGAGAAAACTCGAAATTGTATGAAAACACTCCGCCCTTCGGGCGTCGTGTTTCCATACAATTTCTCGTTTTCCCAATTCCACTCGTGTTGATATAACTGTATATCAACACGGAAAATGTTTTATATTTGTTAAATAATTTCTATTTAATGAACTGTCAATAAAATTTCAGTAAGTATTAAGGTCATATAGTATATAGTACATGTATATAGTATATAGTATAGTGTCTATAGTGACAAAGTCATAGCCGGAGACTGAATTCGTTGAAACGGCTGTAGCTAAATAAAAATCTCAGGTTTTAGCACAAATGCGTCCAGTCCATAATCCAGTCCATAATCCAGTCCAAAATCCAGTCCAAAATCCAGTCCAAAATCCAGTCCAAAATCCAGTCCAAAATCCAGTCCAAAATCCAGTCCAAAATCCAGTCCAAAATCCAGTCCAAAATCCAGTCCAAAATCCGGTCCAAAATCCAGTCCAGTCCATAGTCCAGTCCAGTCCATAGTCCAGTCCAGGTTTTAGCACATGCCGTCTTGCTAAACAACTAGCAGCTAACACAAAATAAGTTCATATTAGGTAATTATTCACTGCAATAGAGTCGATAATGAATTTTCACTCTAATTAATATAATCTCACAATATAATTAAACTTTATTGGCTAGTACATCCAATCATTAATCAATCTGTCATAGTTTGTACGATCCTTATTTTTAATGATTTTTTTACCATAGATTACAGTGGATCCTCATGATCTATTTGAAAATATTCTGAACATCAAGAAAGCTCAAGTCGTGACGAAAATAAACGAGCTCGAAAACCCACCTGAGGGCGGCAAGTATGTGACATAAAACTCGTTTAGAAATTGCGGCCAAAAATCGACACTTGAGTCAAGTCATTCTAACTGAACATACATAGATTGTACATACTGCATGCGTGCACTGAATAATAATGAGGCAAACCACAGAATTAGTTCACGTTTTTGATTAATTAGCAACAATTTGACAAAAAGAAAAGGCTGAAGCCCCCAAAACAATATTAGGTGACTAGAGCATAATTTAATTAAAAACACTTTGTTATGAATAAGTCAAAATAAAGCAAAACAATGTATGATTTTTATATTTAACTCAAGGAAAACAGCAGGAAGGCGGAAAGAACATTATGTAATACAGTATAGGGTTAGAGTGAGGCCTGTTGTTAGAGCTGTGATTACAATAAATCTTATTATCTTGCTACATGAAGTACGCTTGTTTTTGTGAAAATTCCGGTTGCGGTCTGTTCAAATTATTCCAACATTGTCCAGCATTGTTGGACTGGACATTTTTGACAAAGTCAAACCTGATCCCACATCTTTCAACATCACTCGACATTGTCCAAAATAATGTTGAAACACAACCAACAATGTTGCGTCCAATATAGCCTGCGTAGCAGGCGTTTAGTGCGGGCGGGAGAAGAAAGGGCGTCGTTAAATAAACGCCTGCCCAAATGCCTATGATTAATTTGTTCTTCTCCGAAGAATCTTCGGAAAAGCTTCGCATTGGTTAATCTCGCTAACGGAAGTAATTACGTAACTCAAAATGTCAACAATAATTTTGCTCGCGTTGACGCGTTTATAGTCGCGTATCAAAAATATGCCGCCTGTTAATGCTTTCGAGGAAACTTTCTTATATTTCAAGTATTTAGGCTTCGAAATTCAGTTGAACCAGAACAGAGAAAGTATATTATTAATTTGCTACGTGGTGAAGACGCCGGTTATCGCGATTCTTCCTAGGAATACGGAAAAGTTTGATCTTTCAATTATACATTTTAAATATATCCTGAATATTTCTTTAATATATTTGTCTTGTTATTTGTTCACTTTAAAGTATAATTCAAGACCAGACAGTTGAGGCTATATCACTTGGCATTGCAGCTATGAAGTTGAATGACGATTTTAAAAATAACATTTCAAAACATGCTCAACTGTTATATTTGCTATATACGGCAAAATACGTTAAACAACCGTGGTTCAGGAGTCTTTTAAAAGATAAAAGCTCTGTGCACGTTGTGACTGACTGTTGTCTAAAATAGCTTCAAAACTCATTAATAATTCATGAGGAAAACACAAAGAAAAATCATAAACGTGTCGTATCCTTGATATGTGATAGAGATTTTCCTTGATTTACATAAATTTTAATGATTTTTTCTACATATACACACCGAATTTTTTGAAAGCTACTTCGCCAATGAACGTATACTAAATCGATCGTTTTTGAAGCAATTTAAAACATTCGCAGTGCGTGTTTTATCAGACCATCTTTATATCTGATAAAACACTCTGCAAATCTCCGTAGTTGCCGAGCAAAAAGCATGCATGATGCTAAATATAAATCTCGACTATGATTGGATAATGGGTGAAGGTGCTAATTACAAAACGTCAATCATCCTTAATGGGCGGAAACAAATTTGTCATAGCCAATTTGGGCAGGCGTTCTCTCTGTACCCGCCCGTCAGCTAAACGCCTGCTACGCAGGCTACGTCCAATAGTGTGCGACCAACATGTTGGACTGATTTGGACGCTTTTTATCGTCTTGTTTCGCGCACAATACGGCTTGAGGTTGAGTTATGATTGTGGTCAGGAGAATCAAAAATAAATATATATTTTTGCGCAAAACATTACTATGTTATCTCAATTCATACATAATTGATACACAAAAAGAAGCTCATAATACTTTTGTTTGTGGAAATACCACGAAAACAAACAAAAAGTATTATATGTTTTATCGCCATGCAAACCTACAAAGAACTTATAAAGAAGCTTGATTTCAAATACCGAAAATTTTGTTGAATAGCGAGTTTGAGCAAGAGAATGATCTGCTTGCATTATCTTGCGTATACTGTTGGGGTCAGCGATGGTTGTCCCATGAAGACAGGTTATACATTCATGTATTAGTGTTCCTAATTCCACACAATACAGCGACTCAGACTCAGTATGCGCACGATAATGTGCAGATGGACAAAAGTTGTCAAGTACGTCTTCGTTTTCAATTCGTACATCAGTGCCTTGCTCAAACTCTCTAATATTGAACGTGCAAAACCAACTGTACATTGTACAAGTCGCTTATTAAGAACCAAAGTACCTGCACTAAAGGACCAAAGTATTGCGGACAGAACACAAACTCGTGATTTGTAGTGGTTTTATACTTTTATAATATAGCGAACGGATTAAACGTATTTCTTAAAACCTTAAATAATACGTCAAATGTGTTGACAATATTAGTAAAACACTGCAAATTACAAGTTTATGGTCACTACTTCAGTACTTTTATAATTAGTTCAGAACTTCGGTATTTTAGTGAGCAACTTGCGAAGTTATAGCTTTACAAGATCCACGCCCAATATTCCAAATTTAAAGAAACATAACGAAGGCCGTCTAATTATAACTCTCGGGAGTCTATATCGCACAGAACACGCGTGATAATTGCATGTCTACCCTATACATGGATATTAACAATAATTAAATATTTTCACTAGGTTTCCTCAACCCCCTGTTGGTGTCAATGCCTTTTATGATCCTCAATCAAACAAAATAAGTAAGTATTGTTATGTACATGCAGAAATTATTATTTTTCAATGATTGCATGATTCTCGAAAAAAAGGTTTTTATGTACTATAAAAATATAATAATTATAATATTCATGGGTTTTTTCCCAGCTGTTCTGACTGGAATGCTGAAGGAACCATTTTATGGAAGTGAGAGATTAAAGTAAGGTTTTCTCTGATGTTATAGAGTATCCAATCTATTAGATGTTCGCACATAATTAGTGAAGATATGAGGTTTAATAGACATTTCGAAGATAGCTTTATATATAACCTCGTCTTTGGCTACATTTCGCGCGGTTTTGGTAAGTACAGTTTCCGAGTTGCTTTCTTTTACTACTTTTATAATTTACGAAATATCTTCAGTTCATATATGCAATAGTGTGCAATATGCAACGATGGCCAGGCATATTTTCCAAGCTTGCCCGGTGTGGATATATACACTCAGAGTAACATCACAAAAAAACATTTCTAAAGGTTTTAACTGTTTTAATAATGAAAATCATCAAAAAGTTGCATAGCCAGTGGCGTAACGCTCGTTAGGTAGGGTTAGTTCAAAAACTAAGGGCCCCCGACAGTTAGAGGCCCATCAGCCACGGCCTAT